TCGAGGTTGAAAGGAAATGATACCCCATGCCAGAAGGCACAGGACAAGAATGGCTGCACTGTCACCAGACAAGATGGACTTTAAACAAAGTAACTAGTCAGGCAGGGTGGCACTGACTTGTGGACCATAAATATGAGGCCAGCCTGGTCTACACTGTGAATCCCAGGTTTTAAAAACTGCTTGACAGACGGGACACTGGGTACGCTGGACTGAATGACTTGCCCAATAACATTGTCAGTGGGTCACGCACAAGGACGCTCTGCAGTACTTAGTGTCATGCTTTGTCTCTGTTGCCCTACTTTTTGTGTCTCCGCTGACCCCCATACTCCTCACTAGGGACATTTTCCCTGTAGTGGCCCTCTGCATGTCAATCATAGATCACATAATCCAAGAGCAGCTTTCTGGTGGCTTCTTTCTAGCCTGTCTCCACGCACAGCTTCCCACCATCTTCTCAGCCAAGCTTCTTCATAGGGTGTAGCAGGCAGCACTGGTCTACACCAATTTCTCAGTCATCATCACTCCGCTGCAGACGGAGTTAACTGGGAAGCTGAGTTTCAGGCACAGGGTGTAGGGTGAAGGCCCGAAGGGAACTGGGGTGGGCAGGGGTGCCAGGTCTTCAGGGCTCACAGAGAGCGTCTGATGGAGGCTGGTGACTGCCTTCACACCTGAACATACAGGTGGTTGGATGGGTACCATCCAGGGCGAGCCCACTCTTGGGTGACACGGCCATTAGAATTTGGCAAGCTCATGGCAGAAAACTGGCTCCAACCTGAGCCTTGTAGTGGGGGAAGGCTGGCAGTGCCAAGGTGAACATGAGATGGGTAGGGTCCTGCAGACAGAATACGGCAGTGTAGCCAGCCCAGGCAATGCCACAGCACCTCAACGGCACGCAAGGTCCAGGAACCAGTGCAGCTGGATGGGGAGGCAGGAGCTGTCCTATCAAAGCTCAGAACCTATGCCAGAAAGACCACAGTAGAGGGAAGAAGGAAAAGGGGAAGAGGGGAAATACTTGCCAGCGATCTTCATCTCCAACGGCATGGTGAGCAGGAGCTGTACGTGGTAAAGGAAATTGCAAGTTGCCTAGATATGCTGCAGTGAGAACAGAGGCTGGGGGCAGAGAGAAAGTAAGGGTTAAAATGGCAAAGTCTAGGGCACTAAGGAAGATGGACATGGTTGCCTGTAGCCAGGTATGAGATAACCATATTTCTGGGCCGGTGAGGTTGAGCTAACCGTAAGTCCTTATTTCTGAAGCAACCAAGTAATGGAACGAACAGCGAGACTGTCGCCTCGGAGAATACCTCATAGACAAGGAGCTAAACGTGGGGCAATCCAGGAAGGTTGCAGCTACAGCCTGGAGCTGTGCATCAAGCTATAGGCAGGCCTCGCAAACGTGCCAACAAGGAGACCAGTCTTAACTAATGCCTGCAAGGTGGATGATGGCAAAGCTGGCAAGGGCTGATAGCAGCAGCCAGCTGAGGTCCGCAGTTAACAAGGCACAAAGCGAAGACGGAGAAAGGGACTTCAGCCACCCCAGCTGGGTGGGCAGTGCACAAACAGGACATGATCATGGCTCTGCTGGGCCAGAGGGACATACACAGAGCATGCTGGACCTCCACTAGCTTGGTCCAAAATGACCCAGAGTAACCAGTCTCACAGTTATTACCTCAGCTTTTGTCCAGTTTCTGCCATGGTCCTATAAAAGCCCCCGGACAAGGACGTTAATGGCTTTTTCCTCCTGGAAAGCCCTCCCACTCGGGAGAGTTTCTCTTACTTTGACGCAGCGCCTTCTCACCCCATCCCGAGGGAACCATAGGACCCGGCAACATAACACAGATGCTTCTCTGAGGCACTGAAAAATTAAACAGGAAACTCGTTGAGTGTGTAAGAGGCCAAACCAAGCTCCCAACTGAAATGCCAGAAACTAAGATTATCTTGGGTATCCTATCCACTTACATTCGTACCAGCATGGACTCAGTCAGCTACAAGGACCTTCCCCTTCCTGGGTCCTGTTTCTTAGGAAGCGGAGCAGGTCTACAGGAATAAACCTCAGTCCACACAGCCGCCATGAAAGCAGGCAGACACGGACAGCACAACCTTCTAGAAGCTGTCATCTTTGGAAGTACATCTGCCCTGCAGGACTACAGTCTAACTTCTGTTGATGTGTTGATTTGACGCTCTCAACCTCACGGGCCCAGATTCATGTAGTTCTGGTAGCAAGAATTTCTAAGCTCTAAGCTATACCCACAAGCCATCTTCCTGGGAACCATTGCCTCCTCTGCGGGATCCTACCCAGGGACATTCTGTTCTCCACCTAGCAAGTTTTCCACATCACTACCTCAGTGTTGACCAGTTACAGGTGGTTCTCTGGCCAAGTTTCTCAACTATTCTTGTCATCTTGGCCTTTTTGTAAATAAAACTGTTTGAATTCATCTGTAAGTTCACAAGTAAGTCATGATGTCTTGTCAATCCACCTTCCAGCTCTCAATCCTAGCCCAATGATTTAAAATCCAAACTCACTTGAGAGTCAGCCCCAATGGTAGACATCTGCAGCCCCAAACACTTAGAGAATGAATGGGAGGACGGTTTGAGCCCATGCGAAAGAAAATAAACAAACAAAACAAAACCCCCACAGCTATGGCAGGATGGCTCAGCAGTTAAGAGCTCTTCCTGAGGACCTGGGTTCAAATCCCAGTATCTACATGGTGGCTCATAACCATCTTTAACTCTGACCCAGGGGATCCAAGGCCATCTTCTGGCTTCTGTGGGCACTATATACATCTGGTACACAGACATATATGCAGGCAAAATACCCATATGCATAAAATAAAAATAAAAAAAATTTAATTCATCTTCTTTAACAACGTGTTTTAGGTAGAAAAAAAAGTCATCTCAAATCTAACTAGCTTGATAGATTTGACTTATCTCTCCACTTCTACCTCCCTAGAACAGGGGCCTAGCAGCATGGCCTATTAATGTGCACAGGCAGAGAACCATGGGGACCACTTCCTAGTCCCGTACCCAAAGCTGGGGCTGGGCACCTCCCTCCTGGAGATGCTCTGCTTCTCCCTTGTGCCAGCAGGGGGACCAGGGCTACAAGAGAGGGCATCTCAATGTGAGGGCAATGACCCACCTGGGCTTCAGTCCAAAGAACTCTGAGCTTTTAGAGTCAGACCTGCACCTAACAACCCCACCTGGAGATTCTAAGCTGGCAGGACAGTATCCCAAACTGTAGCATGGAGCTTAGGAGGAGCTGCCTGGCCACTAAACAGTCCCCTGCCTTCTGCAGTACCTAGACCCCACCTGGAGATTCTAAGCTGGCAGGACAGTATCCCAAACTGTAGCATGGAGCTTAGGAGGAGCTGCCTGGCCACTAAACAGTCCCCTGCCTTCTGCAGTACCTAGATAAATCCTTTTTTAAAAATCTGTTTATGAAGTATATATTAGGGTTCAAATGCTATTTTAGGTAAACTAGTTTTTAGAGAAGTTCCTGCTCTTCTGGAGCTTTCGGACAACACACAAGGACATGGACCACTACAGAGTGTGAGTGCTAGGTGGCTCCCTCCTAATCCAAACACTCCCTTCTATAGGGAGAAGGCTAAGGAGGACCAGGAGACTTGTAGACGCAGGAAGTTTAGAAAGCTACAAGGCTGGTGCAACTCCCCTCCCCAAGGTTAGACACGTGGACACAGTTGCCAGGGAGACTCTGCAGCAGAGCTGCTCCAAGTTGATTAGGAAGCTCCAAGGATGCTGGAAAAAGCAGTCATGAGTGTTGGTGTGAGCTCCTGTCAATAGCCCCATTAAACTCCTTAGTTCACCGGAGTAGACTGGATAGCTTCTTTGGTCTGTTGTTGGTATCCCAGCTAGGGTAAATGACATTGTTCACATCTCCCATAACAATGAGAGAGAAATAAAACACAAGGATCAAAATCCACACAGAGGGGGCCCCTTCGTCTGGTGTCCTCTGAAATCAGCCTTGTGTGGCTCTGCAGAAGCCGTTTCAGACAGGAGGTGACTACAAGCAGCCTGAGCAGGGGTGACAGGCTGCACAGCCTGCATTGCTGAGGTGGGCAGAGGAGAGAGGGAGGCAGGAGCCAGGAGAACATCTGCACCGTGAGCCACCACCGCCGCTGCCACACGAGGGCGAGAGAGCTGCTCATCAAGACACAACGGTCCAGCACTTTTACAAAGTCCTATTAGCATCAAAGCACAAAGTCCACGGTAAATACGGGTTACCATTGGCCAGCATTTTAATTCATTCTAAAAAGAAACCTTACTATACGCAGAACCTGTCATTTCACATGTTTAACAGGCTAACAATACCTAAACAAGGAACACTTGGAAACAACTTCCTCCTTGTTAAATTTCACATTAGTCAGACTCATTCAATACCTTTATGGAGTGCTGGCCACAAAGCTGCACTTCGGCTTTTTCTCTCCACCCTCTCAAGAATTACCAAAAGGCCAGTCACTGGGTGATAGAAAGTGACAGATTTCACACTTGACTGTTAGAAAGTCTTCCTCAAATACAAAAAGCCACATCCTGCCACACTCAGATCAGTTCACTCTCTTGGAGTCGCCCACCCAATGTTAAAAGCACACTTGTGATCCAGACTCCAGAGGCCCACCAGCTCCAGCGCTTTCCAGGACTGAAGAGAGGGCACAGGGTAATGGAGTTTCTAACTGGCAGACAGTGTCATCGTCGTCTTCTAAGAGGAAAGCGGGGGAAAACAGACCGCGCCATGTCAGGGCAGACTGAGGACAGAAATACACAGGGGCTTCCAGGCCGCCCGGCCCCTTTCTGTCCTCCTTCCTCTTCATGTCTGCAGTTCAGTTTCACTTAGGTTTTCAAAAGCCAGGCTCTGCTGTCAGAGCCTGAATCTTTTCTACATTTCACTTCCTCTGCACTTACTGCCTGATGTCATTGTTCTATTAGCAATTATGGAATGGAAAGTGGCACTGATACAAACCACAGCTTCTGCTCACTCACTCAACATGGATGGATGATTTCTAATTTCTCTTTTTATTAATAAAGGTAACTTTTAACAGTCATAATGGAAATAAAATGTACCAAAGTTTCACAACTCCTAAATGTGACTTAGTGGTATGACTGTGCATGCACAGGGCTGAGTTTCCTACTTGCACATTTAAACTATTTTAGCACTACAAACGCCAGTGGCCTATATCCCTGCAGTACTACATACAACAGCATAAATTAAATCTGCCAGAAATTCTATTATTGGCTCTATTTTAAAGGACTACAATGCAATTATGTACAGTATACAAAGTTTGTCAAACTGAATATACATGGTCTTAGGCCATTACTACTATTTCATTCCAATTTGGATTTAAATATAATCAACTTACAGATCTGAAATAAAAGCACTGCTTAATGGTTTCAGATGCATTTTGGTATTGAATGTTTCAAGGCATCTCTAGAAATAAATAAATTAAGACTGTAATGAAGTAATCTGTGTCTACAGCTGCTGACAGACAGCAGGATAAATGTGACTTAAATGTTAACTGTTATCGACAAGTCTATGAATGAAGAGTCCTGATCACTTCTAGTTTAAAACAAGCAAAACTAATAGCACAGAGTACTTTAATATAACCTTAATGGTCTAACAAACCTTCCAAATGGAAGGAAATACAAAATAAAGTTCAGACATCCAATTTAACTTGTACTGATACACTTTAGCATCACAGATATATCAGGTCAGCTCACCAACTCTGGGCTAACCCACCTAATAGACACCAAGTGAGTAAGCTTTCGGTGGCTAACGCTAAGGTTTCACAGATCTCTGCAGCAACCAGAGACATACAGTGACACACACTACGGCTGTACTGATCCCTCGTCATGCTCTGTAACACTGACATTTCAGGAGTTCCCTTGCTATAATGAGTTGGAATTCAGACAATTTCCTTGGCGATATACAGCAAACCAAATTAAGAATATTAACCTCCTAGACATGAGCTCATATAGGAAGTATTTTGTTTACTAAACTGAAAAGTTAACTTTAAAAAATATCTGCAGTCTTTTTGAAATGCAAGGCACCAGCAGGAGCATACATTCCAGCAAGAATGACTGACTGGGACCATGGAGCCGACAAGTCCTTTCTCTTCTGTTGATCAGAATACTTCCTTTTCCTGTCTATGCAACGTCTTCCAGATAATCGGCAACATCACTGAGCTGGGAAACAGTCAGGTCTTGTGTGAGGTCATCGAGCTTTGTTGTCCAAAAGAAAGAAAAGAATCAGTATAAACAAAGTCTGAATCCATCTGTAAAAGTATATTGTTATAATTCATTTATCTTCTGTAACCCTGGATTAGAGCTGGCTAACAGGAGAACGGGGACACCGAGTGAGAACAAGGTTCCTCTCCAGACTTTGTGGCCCTCACTCTCTTAGATCTGTTCAGTTGGCCCTTTACACCGTCTCATTTTGCCATTCTTTGAATACAAGGAAATATTAGAGATAAAATCATTTTAAATAGATACCCTCATCCCCTCCCTCTTGGTCAAACAGTAGTAGTCTTGGTATACAACTATCTGTACTAAGACAATTACTGGGAACCTTAATTAAAGTCATTACATTTCTTTTTTTGCTGGGGGTAAGCTTTTTTTTTTGTTTTGTTTTGTTTTTTTGTTTTTTTTTTTTCCTTAAGTTGGTTTTGTTCCCTTTGTTTGTTTGTTTTTTTTTTTTTGGTTTGGTTTTTTGAGACAGGGTTTCTCTGTGTAGCCCTGGCTGTTCTGGAACTCACTCTGTAGACCAGGCTGGCCTCGAACCCTCAGAGATCCAACTGTCTCTGCTTCCTGAGTGCTGGGATTAAGATCCACCTGCCTCTGCCTCCTGAGTGCTGGGATTAAAGGCATGCGTCACCACTGCCCTGCCCAAGTCATTACATTTTAAAAGAAGAAACTCAGAAAAGCCCAAACACTGAGACAATAGGTAAGACTGATACTTTGGATCTGCATTTTTTACTCTCATCATTATTAAATAATGAACTCATTAAAGTATGCATTTTATTTGCAAAACAACTGAATGCTGTATTAACGCTGAGTTTAGACTAGAGACAAGAGTGAGGAAAAACTATGGATAAAAAATGATCTTTCAGAATCTACAGTAGAGAGCAGTTAGCTGAGGGGTTTTCAGTTTTGATTTAAAGCAAGAAAGACCACAGCAAATGGGGTTGTGTTGTTGTTTCTATTTTACACTGTGCTACTGGTGTATAGCAATGCTGCTGGGTTTTGTATGGTTTGTACCTATGATCAGTTAATCGATTCCTTTGTATTTCATATGTATTTTGATCACGCTGGCTGCAAACAATATCAATTTGATTTCTCCCTTCTCATTTGGATGCTTCCTTTCTCTTGCCTGATTGTTTTGGCTAGGATCTCCTGCACTGTGTTAAATCAAAGCACTGAAAGTGTTGAAGACTGTGAGAAGTTGAAAAGTGGTAGATGCTCTTCAGAATTCTCACTCTCCCTTCCCCCCTCTCGGCTAGTGCTACCTACAAGTACTACAAGTGCTCACTGATGAGCAACCCCTTATCTGTTTTGAAATCTGTGATTACCAAGAAGCTGAGTTAGCAGCTGACCTCCAACATGAATTCCATCACAAATGCTAAACGAACAATCCTCAGCAGTTTTTCATAAGAGCTCTGTCTGCCTCTTATGGATGACAAACAGTGAAAAGGTGGGAGAAAGGCCGAATATTTGCTTATACACTGGGCAGTAATCAGAGAGTACTGTCACTTAAGTAATAACACTTTCACCTTAAAAGAAACAGAGATGAAGCTGGGCATAGTGGCACACATCTTTAGTCCCAGTACTCGGGAGGCAGAGGCAGGCAGTCTCTGAGTTTGAAGCCAGCCTGGTCTCCAGAGTGAGTTCCAGGACAGCCAGAGACCCTCTCTTAAAAAACAAACAAACACCAACAAAAACACCCACAAAAAGCAACTGGGATGACAGACTCATGTTTACCTAAGACAACTAGCATCTGAAAAGCGGAGGGCTACATACTGAGTTCAAGACCAGCCTGGGACTTAAACCAGGACCCTATCTCAAAAAATCAAAGCCAGAAAACAAAGAAACCTAACACATTAAAAATGACACAACCCAAATTTTGCTTCCACACTTTAAAATACAACCTCTCTTGAGAGCTGCTTCCTCATGTGATAATCTGAAGCCAGCCTACATCCACCTCACTTGGAAGGCAGCAGCCATCTTCTAGCTATGCTCACAGAATGAAAGGCAGACCCACCCTGGCTGTGAACAAGAGAGATGCCACAGCTCATCTCTCCTCTACTGTGTAAACAGCTGCAAGGTGGACTTTGATGGATTTCTGGCTTTGAACCTCAAACCAAAGCTTTCTGCTGTGCTGCCTCCCACAATTCTGTCTCAGCCTTGCTTGGCTAGCCTGAGATGACCAATACCCCATAGATACCACTTCACTTTTAACCCTAAGAAAGACAATTTTGACTCTAGTCCTGATCCCCATGGTCACCCTTAACCCAGGCCTGTCAAGAGTGTAAATACCAAATAAATGACAGCTGTGAGTCTCACATATCCTTAGTTTTCTCCAGACTTAGAATAGGTAACTGGCATGAACTTTTTGCAATTTTCAATCATTTTTTTTTTTACTAGTCATAAATTTACTAAGCCTCATAGCAAATCAACAAATGGACAGATGCACCCACAGAACGTGCTAGCACCTTACTTTATCACTGGTGTTGACATCATCTACTCCCATGGAAAGGTCTTCTTCGATTTCTTCACCGATACTTAACTCACTTTTTTCTGAGCGATGGCTAGCACTAATTATGAGAGGGGAAAAATGAAAAAGAAGTCTGAAGAATAACTACCACTGTTCAAATTTTCAGAGATTTTAATCCCACAAGTAACATATACCATTAAACATAATTTCATATATATCATCTAAGAAAACTTATAAGGCAATAGTGGCAATCACACAGAAAACCTGCATTTCTCAAATGTCACTCGCCACATGCTATTCTTTTTTTTTTTTGGTTTTTCGAGACAGGGTTTCTCTGTGTAGCTTTGCGCCTTTTCCTGGAACTCACTTGGTAGCCCAGGCTGGCCTCGAACTCACAGAGATCCGCCTGGCTCTGCCTCCCGAGTGCTGGGATTAAAGGCGTGCGCCACCACCGCCCGGCCCTACATGCTATTCTTAACTCCAAAACACGGTATAATAAATTATTGTAATAAACAGACAGAAATTCTAATCAGAAGGAAACTGTCAAAATTCTCAGGTATTTAAAATTAAATTTTCTAATCATATCTATAACAAATATTATTTTCATCAGTAGGCAATTCATACAAGTTACCTCCAACAAAATGTTAAGTAATACCACATCGAAGAAGGCAGTTTTTGAAAGGTCAAAACCACAAAGACAAAGGACATGAGAAAAATCAGGATAAACTACTGACTTGGTTTCATGACAGGTCAACCTCTGATATCATTTCTTTATCTTATTCTTTCCAACTCTCCCAATACAACATACATATTCATCTATATTCTAATGTAAGAAGTCGTCACTCCGAAACATAATTTTGGGTGAACATGAACAGGAGACTCAAGTACAAAGTAAACTCTAATGTAATTTTGCCATACCTGTATTCAGAAAGTATTTAAAAGATTTACATATTCACCTCAAGGTTTTTCTTACCTATTAAAATCATCAACATAGTCTTCATCTTCTCCAGTTCCTGGTAATCAGTTTAAGAAAAGAAATATGTTACACACTTACAGAAAAATACTTGTTTTAAATAAGTGTGTCTCCTGCCAAAACAAAACATTATTGAATGATATTATTTCATAAAAACATAAGGACCAAAACAGTATTTAAAATTCTTTTAGACTTACTTATTTTTATATGCACAAATATTTGACCTACATGTATAGTATGTATGTGTACCACGTGTGCCTGGTGCCCAGGGAGAAGAGTCACGGATGGTGGTGAACTACCATGTGGGCACTGTAAAATGAACTTGGTTCGTCTGCAATAGCAACACATACTCTTAACCACAGAGCCATCTCTGGAGTAGTTTTACCACATAAAATGAAGGCAAAGAATAAAAACTATTCAAGTGATTATACCACATGCTAAAAAGTGAATACCTTGTTTGTGCTCTAGGTTCAGGAAGGTGGCTTAATCAGGGCAACTCACCATGATGTGCCCTGTGACCTAATGAAGCACAGCTGGGGATGCAGCGCAATGGCCAAGTATTTGCTTAGCATATTCATGGACCCGGGCTCTATCCTCATCAACACAAAAATAGAAAAAGTGACACACAACAGCAAGGCACCATCAACTTCCATGACTTTCAACTCAACAGCTTGTTCAAAAATTCAACAACAATCAGAAGGTGTGAAGAGGCGACAGAGCATGTGGGCCCATCACCCGGAAGGGGTCCTTGGTGCCCTTCCATGGGCATGTCCTAGTACCATCAACATCTGTATTCCTCAGAATACCGACACTCTTGCCACACACATTACAGTAAAAACAAAGCTCAAATGACTGTGTTGTGCCACTGAACAAGACTACTCATTTCTATTGAATCTGGTGAAGTCCAATACCCACCCTGTACAACTATCCAAATTTCAACTTACGGTGTGCCCACATGTCAGCAGAGGGTGAAATGAAGCAGTGATCTGCCCTTTGTTCTCTCCAACAGCTTGCAGTCAGAACTGTCTTCCCCAAAGGGGAATTCTCTGCAATTTCACCTTGTCAGCAGAGCAGGGAACCCACACTTTGATCAGAGAACAAGAGCAATGAAAAGGGGAAGCCCAAAGGGTTGGCACCAGGTGAACCACCACAAAGTGAAACAATGTCAGAATGAAGGGGGCAGAGCAGAACCTGAGGTGTCATGGTCAAGAAGGGGGCAAAAATCCCGAGGTGCAAGGATAAAGAGCCCCCCCTGCAGGTGTGATCACACCTAATGGGGAAGAAGCAGGGAAGGAAGAAGAGTAGGACCACCTAGCCAGCCAGCCAGCAACCAGGAGACACAAAGGGCCGGACTACTGGCAACTCAGCAGTTACCAGGATTCCAGGACATGGAACAAGAATCCAGGCAGCTCAGGGAACATCTCTTCGGCTAATGGGGAAGAAAGTGACACAAAAAGGAAACTAGCATTTGAGGCACCCCTTACAGTATGTCGACATGTTTAAATCCTAGTTAGTCTTCCAAGTGAGGTTCATGTTACTGGACCCCATAACAGAGAAGAAAAGCACAGTTTATGCCAGGTCAGGGCCACAGCTGGGCTCTTCATGTAAACCTATCCATTTTTCACCTGGGTCCTGTGTATTATACCTAGGGTGTCTGGTTAGAAACGAGAGGATAGTCTCTACACTGTCCCAGGACATGCCCTAGTTCACAAAGTGCACAGGGAATATGGTACTTTCTTCCCAGCCTGCCTGAGAAGCAGCGCTCTCAGAACAGAGTAATTAGCATCACATCGCATCCATAAAGAGGGCAGGAGATGGCCGAGAGCCCCAGCCGCACCACTTCCTTTGTGTCAGTGAGAGGAAGGGTCTCCAGGTCCTCCTGTGGCACCTGTCTGCAGTGTGCCCAGAACTCAGCTGTGTTCACACCGACTCTCTTACCCCATAGGAACCTGCTGAACTGCATCTGCTCCAAATACCACAACAGCTCACGGCTGTCCTCTCACAGGTCTAAGCCTTGCACCAGACTGACTCCCTGGGTCTGTCGCTGCGCCAACTTCACCCACTCTCACTGAAACCCTCTTTGTTACACAGCTCTGACTTGATCACCAGGTCTTGCCACAGCCTCCTCTGGAGGTCTTCCACAAAAGCCCAGGCCAGAGCATTCCCTTACTACAGTCTGAACACAAAAGACATAAGGACGGACCAGCTTGTTGCTACAGCCATCCCCCGGCACAGGGGTGAACTCTGGACGCACGTCGACTCCCCAACGCCTGCTGAATGACAGCAGGAAGGCTTTCCACGTAGACTTTAATCTGGAGGATGACTTCAACAATCGCACTAGAACTGAAATCTAGTCACCTAGTCCAAGTGATCCGATTTTTTCACCGACCAATTTCAGATCCTTCAGGACTGTGCTTCCTCTTTTACCTGTAGACAGGAAAGAGTACTTGCATGAAAGGCCTTCATAGTACTATTCTCTAAGCCACGTCAAGCTTTCTCTCAGGTGGGGTATCTACAGCCCTAGGAGTATAAAACCCTAGAGTAAACTTATAAATTGTAATCAACAGAGGCTAGAATCATGTACTACCATTCTCTGGGTATATTTTTATTGGCAAAAAGCAAAGGATTCATGTGTTACAGAGAGAAACCAATTATACTATTCTTTATTAGAACATAATCACCAAAATAAAACATATACAAAACCCAGTACTGTGAACTCCAAGTGGATCTACTTCTGAGACTGCTGGTTAAATACTGGCTGACTGTGAGAGGGTGATGTCCAAACACACTCTTGAAAGCCTTAGCAATGTTGTCCCGGGGTGGGGTAGGATGAGATGGGGTGGGATGGCATAGTGTAGGAAGCTGGCTATCACCCAGTTTGCTAGCAACCTCTCCTCTGTGCCACATCAGATGAAAGCCTTGGATGGCAGAGTGACTATGTGATCACTCTATCCCAGAACTTCTTTAAAAAATCAAGTTATGCCAAGAAACCACGAGACATGACTACAAGTGAACAATGTTCTCTTCTTGGAATGGGACAGCACCTAACACTCATCCTAGGTTGACAATACTACAATCAAAACTCCACTGGGGCTGCCTAACCTACTAGCCATCCCAGACCAGCAGTATGCTGCAGAGCATTAGTTACCTTCCTTAGTGATCAGGTGGCTATCCCAGCATGTTGATAAAACACAGAGGGACATGCATAGTGCAGACAGAGAAAAATCAAATCTAAAATTTGAAGTATTGTGTATCACTTCTGTATAAAATTTAAAAAATGTGTATGTATACCTATCAATAGTCCAAACCAGCTAAAAAGTCAGCTTCCTAAAAAACTTTGATAGCCTAGCAAAGGCTCACAAAATGGTGGAGAACAGTGACATTAAGAAATGAAAAGAATAGCAAAATATTGTCTACCTTATTAAAATTAGGATTTTCTAAAAAAAAAAAAAAAACAAAAAAACCCATAGTAATCATATCACATATTTTCGGGTTTTTTTTTTTTCCAACCTAACACAAACTAGTCATCTAGGAAGACTAAACAATCAACTGAGGAGCTGCCTCTGTCAGATGGGCCTGTATCGTAAGCCCTGTAGGGCATTTTCTTCATTAATGATTGATGTAGCAGGGCCCAGGTCACTGTGAGCGGTGCCACACCTGGGCAGGTGGGCCAAGGTCCTATCAAAGAGCAAGCTGAGTAACTTGGGGAGTAAGCCAGTAAGCAATGTTCCACCATGGCCTCTGTTTCAGTTCCTGCCCTGATTCCCTTCAAGAAGAACTACAATTGTCAGCTGAAATAATCCTTTCTTCCTTCACTTACTTTGGGTGATGGTATCTTATCACAGCAATGGACACGCTTACTTAGAAACAAAACACAACAAAACCCTGGAGTATTCAAGTACTTACTCTCAGTATCTGTTAAGGAAGGGGCTCCTGCCAGGGAGCTGAGGCCACTCCTTAAGGGGGGTCTGTCAGAGACTGAGGCCAGACTTCCCACTTGCTTCCTAGGCTCACTTCTCCTAACAGGAAGCAAATGACAATGAAATGTTAATTTCAGACCTTGTCACTATAGTCTTTTATTCTGTAAATATAAAAAAGCAATTTAGAGAAGTTTTATGTGCATCTAATGGTTGGGAATGAACAAGATTTTACAGATTGAAAATCACAAAGCATACCTACAGGGCAGTGCAGACTGCAGATCTATCTAGTTACAAATGCACGAGTGAGTTTGTCAGCGAAGCACCAGCTCCCTAAATTTACAGCCGTTTGCTATCTCTCAAGCCAAGTTGACTTTCAACACCTGTACTACCGAGGACTTCTTCAGAAGCCTCCTCCATCTCCCCGAAACACAAAAGACAGTACATGAATCAACAAATAAACACTACCTCTCAAATGCACACGTTGTTCCGGAAGCTGCAGAGCCCCTCCCTCTACCCTGGAGGGACTGTTAGTCACAGCTTCACCATTCCAGTCAGCTGGCTCCTAACTTCCCAGACACTGCCATCAGGGCCTACACTGGCCATCCTCTCCATTCTGCTGACAACTCCTCCCTGGAGTCCACCACAGGGCAGCACTTCAGGAATGCTGTTACCTCATTCTAACCCAGGTGTGCCCTGATGCTAACATGCAGCTCCTGTCACATGGTGAGTACCTGATATAGGCTTATCTGGTAAAAATGGCTTATACCCGGTACCTTCAATAATCCTGGCATTATTTTAAAACATATTAGGTTTTACTGGTACAAAATCAGATTTATGGATTCAATAATTATATAGTTGTTAGCAGATCATTAGGTGTAACACAAATCTTAACAGGTCATATTAATAAAAACAAACCCAGGGTCAGGTATTGGGGTGAACATTGGAAGATCAGAGAAGCAGAACAAGCCACAGCCACTTCACATCACCAATTCCTCAGCTGATCCTGTTTCCTCAGACTAGAAGCTTCTGAGTCCTCATCCAAACGGATCTCAGTTGAACTGCTTCTCGAAAGCCTGAAAGCTTAACCAGACCTAGTTCCTGGTTTTCACGCCTTATATACCTTTCTGCTTTCTGCCATCACTTCCTGGGATTAAAGGCTCACTTCCTGGGATTAAAGGCGTGAGTCACCATGCCTGGCTGTTTCCAGTGTGGCTTTAAACTCACAGAGATCCACATGGACCTCTGCCTCCGGAATGCTAGGATTAAAGGCGTCTGCTACCACTGCCTAACCTCTGTGTTTAATATTATGGCCATTACCCCCAGATAAGTTTATTGGGCTGCACAATATATCAACCACAATTAGGTTTAAAATATAAAATGAAAGCATTTAGGAATTTTGTCTTTAAATCATAAGTCAGATGATCCAAAGAAGTCTACTTACCAACCGTAAGTTTTTTCTGGCTTAGGAATGGGATCATCAAAGAAAGAATCTCCTTCTGCATCGTCTTCGTCTGGACAGAGAGCACTTTTGTCTTTGGCATCTAAAGTGCTGCTGCTCAAGAAGGATGCAATCCTTGTCTCACGGGCCGGGGGGTGCAGGCTGCTCTTGCTCTCTGGCTCTGACAAGGAAACACTGGGCTCGCTCTCACTGGTCTCATTGCTGGTCTTCTAAGAAAGAGGGAGGAAGAAGTCTCCGTGGTGATAAAACTTCTAAGGTATTTTAAACAACAGTCAACACAGGGGTGTGTCTGTGTCTGTGTGTGTCTGCGTCTGTGTGTACATGCCTGTGTCGGGCCTTTCAACAGCAGGAACTGCAGTGTAATCCTATGCTTTCCCACTTTATCCCCAGGCTTCCTGACATGGGCAACTTTCAAATGGCAAAATGTTAAAGAAGATCATTACACCATTTCCTTCCTTCTTTTCTAAATGAAAATGTCTTTACCATGCCTATCCCACTTAGCAAGTTTTTCATTTATAAATAGCTTTCCCTTGTCATCCTATGTGTATGTCACTGTTGCATAAAATATCTTTATACATTTTCTATTGGAAACCAGGAGAGAGCATTAAGTTAAATAGACTATGTCACTAAAATGAACTAAATTACACTATTCATCAGAAGAGAGAGCAGCTTTCTACCCAGCACCAATGAAGGGTGAAAGACATGGCCTTCGAATGCTCACATTTCCAACAAGCAGATGCTGGACAAAACAATTACCTGAATTCAGGCTTGCTGGGCTATTTACTAACCTGCACCTCATGTTCACGAGGAGGCACATAAATCCTTTATGTATCTTAAACCAAGGCTGAGAACTCCTCCTGAGGAAGAACTTCTATTCCCACTCCACTGGCACATAGTAAGGTTAGCGTGAACTATCACAGTGTTTGGGTTACTCTGACACCACAGCACAATTCTAGTCTATACCTGGCCCCCCTGCCCCCTTTTTTTCCTCTGTGTAAACTGTCTTAGAACTCACTCTGCATACCAGGCTGTTCTCAAACTCAGAGATCCACCTGCCTCTGCCTCCCAAGTGCTGGGGTTAAAGATGTGTGTCACCACCGCCTGGCTTTATCTATTTTAATAACAAATATAATGCCAGTAGCAACAGCCGTGGCTAACAATTATGGAGAATACTCAAATGCTTCAAGTGTTATGCCTCACTCAATCTTTAGGCCATGCATGTAGGATGTGTTATCTGTATGGATTCTAAAGAAGAACACAAAGGCAATTTATGTAACTTGTTAAGACCCTGGGGTAGTTAAATAATAAAATGAACATCAGATTAGCTCCCCCTTTTCCTCCCTTTTTGAGACAAGGTCTCATGTAGCACAAGTGGCCCTGAAGTCTCTGTATAGCTGAGGATGACCTTGAACCTGATCTTCTTGCCTCTTGCCTCCCAATGGCTGGGATTAACCACACCCAGCTGAGGTCAGCTCTTACTACTCAGGTTGTACCATGAGGTTGAGTCACACGAAACTGTATTTAGTGTGGGCTGAAAGGACAGTTTCCAAAGGGCTGGCCTTATACGCTATCGTGTAATACCGCAATAGACCCCTGTGATGTTCCAGAAAAAGCACTCACCTGAAATAAGAAATCTGGAAAGTGCCTGTCCCGGGTCATTAACTGTGTGATCTTAAATGTTTTCAGACATGAATTTTGTCAAGAACTAAATGAGGTCAGTTACAAACAGGCTGGGACAGAGCTCATTAGCAGCAAGGCAAGGAGCTGGGCCACACAGAAGTGGAGCAGACTAACACACAAGGCACTGAGCAGGGGCTGCTCTATTTTCCCACACGCAGAGAGCATAGCATGTCTTAGGATGCACACTTAGGTTTTTAGACTTGAGGCCTTGGTTAGTTGCCAGAGGCAAGGCATATATTATGTAAGTTTTAGGAACTTAGATGGGGCTACACAGTCTATGGGCTATCAATAGTGATAAACTAATGATCATGAAGAGATATCTGGAAAATAAATTATCTAAGCTATCCTTTTGAACAATATAGGAAACTCTCAAGGAAGTACATAAAAAATTCCCTTATAACTTTCTTCAAGTTTTCCTGGTACTGTGAAATACAGAAGTATAATATATTTAAATACACCTAAATTAGAGTCACATCAGTTTCAATTTCTGATTTGAAAATGTTTTAATAACTGAGTTTTTCAAAGGCCCTGTAAATAAATTCCCTAGTCTTATGATATTTAGACACATTCACTCTCGCCTTAGAAAGGTAAACAGGGCCGAGGCAGAGTGAGTCAGACACAAAGTAACATCACAGGTCAGCGACTGCGGGACATGCTCTCCTCCTGGAGTTCACATCACCAGCTCCAGTCCACACACAGATGACAGGACACTGAAGAGCTTGGTGATTAATGCTTGTCCGTGATTACTGTTTTACTGACATTCTTACTAGTGATGCAAGGCACAGTTTTAGGAAGGTGAGTTTCATGGAGAAGGACATGGTATGACATAGCACATTTTTAAAATAACAATATTTGTTTTATTCTAAACATCAGTTCTATCTATGAAGTGAAAACAAACTTTCAAAATAGCTCTGCAACTGTGCTCAAAATCAATTCCTAAACCACACAGAAGTGCGTCAACAGAGACAAACAAATAATGCCAGAGCCTGTGTGAGTAAGGAGGCAGAGACTACAAGAGTGATCCATCTGGGAGGCAGAGGCCATCCCCAGGTTTGCCTCCCACCAAAGGAGGCCAAGAAGACACCTTTCCTTCCGCTCTACCTTCAGACTAGGGACAGGCCATGTCTCAAGCTCCCAGTACATACCACGGTATAGAAGCTGAGAAAACTACAGCTGTTTATAGTATAACACTTAGCCTTTGTCATTTTATAAAAATGAAGGGACTTACTGAACAGCACTGCATCAGCCATTCCCTGCGATGGAGCTCAGGATTAACAAACTGTATGGTAAATTATGATAAAAAATTTTTCAAAATTTTAGTATAAATTTTTCCAATAAAACACATAATTAAAACTTCAATCATTTAAAAAAAATAATAGAAAATGAGCATCAGAGAAAGGTTTCACAATGAAAAATACTATTTGTCTAGTAGCCAAAAATTGAATTATTGCTACAATGTCTTTATGAACTGAAAAGGAGCTTAAGTGTGGCTCAAATTAACAGGACTTGTCAGCACAAAGGCCTCAATTCTCAGCACTGAGGGAGAAAAAGGATAATATAATTTGTGTTTCCAAAATAAAAGCTTAATGTGCACTGTTCATAAAAAGACAAAATAGTCCAGTTTTACAAACATCTTCAAACATTTGCCTGCAATATCTCTTTGCCCCACCCAGGCCTCTATCACTCTCCACCTCCTCCTCTACTCTGTCAAAGGCAGCTTTTGATTCATGACTTACTTAAGAAGTTTACGTTTAGCACTTATTTATTTATTTTATTTACTACTCCTAAATATTAAAAAAATTTTACTATTAAAATGGGCACTATCCTTACAAAGTTTAATTTGCTCCCCTTAAGACTGTAGAACTCTAGAACACCACAACCAATCTTTAAACCTCTAGTATTCCTAGAGAAGCACTCTCCGCACCAACAGCCAGCAGCCATCTAAGTCTTCCACACACCCAGCAGAACCATGGCCTTGAAGCTGTCACAAGACAGGTGGCTGGCCCCTGCATGGGTGTCAACCTTCTTCCCTCAGGCCTCATGTCCCTAGCAGCTCCCAGAAGCTCAAGAGATAGGGATCACTGGGCTGGGTAAGTAAGTGCCAGTTTCCAACTACCGACCTACCATTCACCCAGCATCATGTTGGGGAATGAATAAGGAGAAAGATAACACTCAATATAGAAGATCCTGAGTGACAGCCACAGACTCAAACAAACATAGCCTGAAAGACACATACAATGATTGTGACCAATGTCCAAAATCGACATAAAGTTGAATATATTCAAGAATTCTGAAAATAACGACTTATTAAGGATGGAAAGCGAAGCACCTCACTATTCATTAGCCTGGAAACTAATGAAGGATACCTTCTCATATAACATTAGTGGCACGATACAAGGTACTTCATTCAAGAACTGGAGGTGCTTCCGCAGGAAAGTGACTATTCAGCAAACCTGAGGCCTTCAAGTCCGACCGACCCCTCCCCGGTGCTGCCAGAAAGTAAACAAAACCGTTGATCTTGGTTTGCATTTACAAGCAGATGATAAAGACCCAGGGAGCAAAGCTTCTGCAGAAGTCAGCTGTAATTATTAATTAGTTATTAATAATTATCGGCTGAGTTTCTGAGACAGGGTCTCACTATATAGTCCACACTAACACAGAACTCACCACATAAGCCCAGACTGGCTTTGGATCATCAATTCTCCTGCCTCTGCTTTCAAGTGCTGGGAAACAGGCACACACCACTACACCAAGCTGTTCTAGTTTTTTACATTATTTTTTAAGGGACTTTTTTTTTGTTAATTCTTTTGAGAATTTCATATAATGTATTTTGAACACATTCACCCCCTCCCATCCAAATGAGTTTCCTTCTCCCCCACCGCCTGCATCCAGTCCAGTCTATGTTGTCTAACTAGTCTTGGGAGTAAAGATTCCTCATCTTAATCTCTCAGACAACTGAGATATGATTTGGCAAAACAACAAAGATACAATCACAGGCGCTACTTTGAAGATGTGAGCAGAGGGCTCGAAGGCTCCCCCTTTATGCCCAGTGAGATGTCTCAGCAGGCAAGCACCTGACCCAAGCCTGGCATCTCGAGCTCCATGCCCAGGACCCACGTGATGGAAGTGCCCATCTTAAACTGTTCTCTGACCTCATGTGTACTGTGGTACACGTTCAACGACACAAACACACATCATATAGTTAAATGCAAAAAAAAAAAATCTAGTTTGCTGTGGGTGATTGATTGATAAAGTGCTGATTGGCCAATAGCCAGGCAGGAAGTAGAGGTGGGACAAGGAGAGAGGAGAATTCTAGGAAGTGGAAGGTTGAGTCAGGAGACCTGCCAGCTGCTGCTGCCCTGAGAAGCAAGATGTAAGGTACCAGTAAGCCACAAGCCATGTGGCAACTTATAGATTAATAGAAATGGGTTAATTTAAGATATAAGAACTAGATAGCAAGAAGCCTGAGCCATTAGGCCTCACAGTTTAAATAATATAAGCCTCTGTGTGTTTATTTGGGTCTGAGTGGCTGCGGGTCTGAGTGGGACTGGAGAAAACTCCAGCTACACCAGTTCATTGAAGAACTCCTTCTCATTAATTTTTTATCCTCTGTATTCTGAATTTATTCATTCTGTTGTTTCTTTCTTTCTTTCTTTTTTTATTTTTTATTTTTTTCGAGACAGGGTTTCTCTGTGTAGCTTTGTGCCTTTCCTGGAACTCACTTTAGAGATCAGGCTGGCCTCGAACTCACAGAGATCCCACTGCCTCTGCCTCCCGAGTGCTGGGATTAAAGGCGTGCGCCACCACCGCCCAGCATTCTATTGTTTCTTAACAACAAAACCAAAACCTTTTTACTGAAGTTATTGCTTGGAAACCTTACACACATCAGTTACGCATGCACACACACAAGCACACAATTTGTTGGTTTGAGACAGGTTTCAGTACTGTAGCCCTGGCTGGCCTCAGACTTGTAGCAATCATAGGCTTCTGTCTCCAGAGTGCTGAGATTATGGAAGTGCATGGCCACACTGAGATTATATACAGATAATTATATATACTGTAGCCCTAGCTGGCCTCAGACTTGCAGCAATCATTGGCTTCTGTCTCCAGAATGCTGAGATTACAGAGTGCATGGCCACACTGAGATTATACATGGAGAATTCAGAAGTGTACTCCCAGGATTAACAAGGGCTTTGGGCCTCTCAATCAACAGTTGCCCACAGCCTGTCTCAGAGTTCCAGAGCTCAATGGGAAGTACCGTGGACTTCCTTGTTTTTGCTCAAGACCCCTGAAACACACACACAGCATGCACACTTCATGTCTGTGGATCACATGGATGAGGCTCCTGCAGTTGCACACGACTTGGGAAATGGCACTCACCTGCCACAGCAATGGCTTCCACTGGCATTCTGGTAGGCGTAACCCCAACCACTACATGCAACTAGGTATCTTGATTATGCTGTTAAGAATGTTCTGGAAATTGAAAACTTAACTGCATGCAGAGGGCAAAGCAGAGAGGCAGAGGAAGGGGAGTGAAGGGCTTAGCTATCTAAGGCTGGAAAGAGGCAACACTGAGATCCACACTGGCTACAAAAGCAATTCAGAAATAAGATCGGAGAAGAAAAGGGAAAAAGGATTTCCAAGTGACTGAGGAAGACATTCTGGACTCAAGATACGAATATATAACAATAATGAAACAGAAGGAACTAGACTAGTCTCTGTTATGAGGCATGGGCCCATCAGATTCTCAATTCCCCTCAAGTCAGAGAGCACTTGAAGGCTGAAGTCTGGCCCCACCACAGCCATGTCACACATACACAGAGTGAAACCATGTCTCTTAGTATGCGCTGGTTTTATATACTAATTTACTCAAAATGCTTTAAGTTAGAGACCTAAGAACTAGTAAGGTTATAGAAACTCAATACTATGAAACATGCATTTAACTTAAAAATTCCAAAAGACCAAGTCAATGAATCTTAACAACACAAACCACAGGTTAACACACTTATATAGTCTCAAGGTGTCCCACCTCTCCAGTTAGACTGTGAGTTCCAACAAAGTCACTTTCACTATGCAAATGTTCCCAAGCACTTACTGGACAATGGGACATCTTTTCACTGAATGCTGCATGAAGACAGTGAACAGAAAGAAAGCTCTGCCTCTGAAATCACCACAACTAAAAAGCCAGTCAACAGAGAAATCTAAGTTGTTTTTGTTTTAAAGCCTCTGTTTTAGAAGTTTTTAACTTAGGAAAATGTCTGTGCATCAGACTCCCTCAGAGACCTGACAATGACTCACGGTGCCATATTCTAAAGGCACATGTCTTACCTAGCTGAGACTGGCACGTTACTTTATGCCAGTGTGCTTCCCACACTCCTGCACCTTGTTTCCTGTTCTCATGACTGAGGACGAAACTCAGTGCGTGCTGGTCCAGCACTCGACCACTCATTGGTACCCCAGGCTATTCACTGACTAGTTTTAGACAAGACTGCACTCAACTGCCCAGGCTGCCTTGAACTGCAGTCCTCCTTCACCCTCTCAAGTAGCTTAGGTGACAGGCCTGTGCCACTAGGTCTGGCTCTCATGGTCGGCTAACAGATGACAGTAATGCTTAAAAAGAAAGCTTAGAACCCAGGCCAGCAGGAGGCCCCCAGGAGTCTGAGGCTGGCTCAGCACAGGCGGCTGTTCTCTTCTGCTCTCATGCATGTTACCTGGTCACCAGACTTCCGCCCGCTTGTCTTCTTCTTACCTTGTCCTTTATACCTTGGTATCTGAGCATGAGAATAAAATGACATTTTACCATAAAATATAAATCTCTAAAAATAAACTAACTCATTACCAAACTAATAGAGATTCCTATTAGACAGTATCTGTGAATGGACAATCTAACATATTCCTCTCCCACACCTGCTGCTTTGGAAAGCCTTCATAACTTCCTGGCATGTCTCGAGTTTTAACCAGTTTCCAACAGGTTCCTGGTCAGCTACAGGCACTGGCTATCTATCACCTGTCAGCTTCCTACTGTGTGTGCAGTCCGGTCCTTTCACACCGCACGTGGGTTCCGCTCTACACTGGCCTGGAGTGAATCCTAAGCAGCTTGCTGAGGGCTTGTCTAGCTTGATTTGACCTTCCTCAGGAGCATACAACACTGGTTCCTAAATGCTGACTCTAACCCTTGGCTACAACTTTCCAGTGTCCCTCACACTTACACTTTCACTCTGTGGGCTCACAGGCGGATGAGGGTTCATGAGGGGCTGGCAAGGAGAGGGGGAGAACTTTAGGTATATAATGGAGTTGTATTCTAAGTGACAAAGAAAGAGTGTATTTTAAACAGACCCCAGCCCCGGCCAGCTAGCAAGGATCTTAGGTATTTCCTAAGGGGCTACTCCAACCCCAGCTCACACAGAAGACTGCATGAGAAAGAAATGAAAGGTGGCAGACATGTGATGTCCCTAGTCCAGGAGAGACACAAGCCTCCCTCTACACTAGCCTATGAGACTGTTCTGCAAGAATTTACACAACATTCCTTAAGACTTAAAACACTCAGGAGGATCATCACAACTCCAGAGCATGCAGTAACAGATTTTATTACGGTTTTTCTTGAGGATATACTTTACATGGAATGTCAGTACCACTTCTAAAAATACTTTATGAGGAAGTGGATTTCCAAGCAGCTCAATGCCTCAAGTATTGATAAGTATTTTCGGAATATTAGTTTCTTTTTCTTTTTTTTTTTTTTTTTGGTTTTTCGAGACAGGGTTTCTCTGTGTAGCTTTGCGCCTTTCCTGGGACTCACTTGGTAGCCCAGGCTGGCCTCGAACTCACAGAGATCCGCCTGGCTCTGCCTCCCGAGTGCTGGGATTAAAGGCGTGCGCCACCACCGCCCGGCCTAGTTTCTTTTTCTAACATCAGACATTATCATGGAAAATACGTTTCTTCCACAGGCTCTTTTTTCATCATTTAAAGAAATTTGTAAAACTGACTCATGACTTGCTCCGTCATCAGGGTTATAGCTTCTCATAAGCACCAGGAAAAGACAAACCTCTTTAAATACTCCTTATCTGAAAAGGTCTGGCCCTCTCAGGGGGAGCCACATTAGCAGAATAACCTCGCTGGCTTGAAATATGAAATGTCTTCGGCTTTTGAAGTTTACAAATGAACAAATAATCAAACAAGCCATAAGTAACAGCAGTGCCCTGTGCCTAGACCCTTAGCAATGAAGTACCTGGCAGTATAAACACAGGCTCCAAAGGTCACCTGAGCTAAGATACCAGTCTGATCTATGAAATCCATGTCCCACCCTGAACCCACATGAAACCCTGTGCTTGGATGGACTCCACACCATCTTCCTGTCCCTGTGGAAGAGTCACAGAGTGCAATGCTGACCTTTGATGACCTACAGAGCTACGCCTACCCACCCTCCTAAAAAACTGGTTATGTTTAAATCCCAACTCCTAAGGTAATGATAGTATTAAGTGGGGCCTTTGGGGAGTAATTAATCAAGAGAGTGGAACACCTGTGTATAGTTTATTGAGCTCCCCTTCCCCATCCCACTACATAAGGATATGGAGAAGGTACCAGGACCTGGGCCCACACCACACACCAGGCCTGCCAGTGCCTCAATCTGTGAGAAATCAGTATCTGCTGTTCATAAGCCATACAGTCTGTGGTACTCTATGACAGCAACCTGGGTGGACTACGATAGGACCCCAAACCATTATTTCACAGGGCCAACTAGAACCAATCAGGATGTACTCTATCCAGCCACGGAGACCATCACTTTTTCATTAAATCTTCTATTATGAAAAATATTCAAGTGTTCAACTCCACATTTTTCTTCTTCATATAGTATTCCTGAAATCAGGTCTTATCTTTAACACACACACACACACACACACACACACACACACACACACACACACACCCCATAGTACACTTTCCTATAAATCTTGTCAAAACAGTTCACTAATATTTAAATACCACCATGAATCCAAATCTGGTCACCCAAAAGTCTACAAAACTCAACTATAACCTTTTATATTCTGAGAGCCCATGCTCTCCAGCTCAGAGCTTATGCAAAGTAAGGAAAGCCTTCTTATTAATGCAACATAAAAATATTCCAAGTATCAATGTCCTCTGAGATACAAAATTCAAGACATTACCAATGACACAAAAGAAGCAACTTTTTAAAAAAAAAATCACCTACTTAATCAAGAGGGTAATGACCTTTAAGAAACTTTGAAATGACTTGTCACAAAAGAACATTCACAGGTAACAGGTAAGAACAAAGAACAGGGCCCCAAGTGTCTGCCACAGCGCCTGCTTCTCTGTCCAGCGCAGACTCACCTTACTTGGGGTGGAGTTCCCACTTGCTTTTCCTTCAGGGGACTTTGACGGAGGATGTCCATCTGATAGATCCAAAGCACCCTAAAAATTACAGTTTAAACTGAAACTAAAACATGATTATGCCAATGATGCTTCAAAATTATTTTAGCATTTAAGAATACTATGTTGACATTTCTTCACAAACACCTGTACTAGATTTTCCTTTAATTTGAATACACATATCCCACCCAGATTCAAGTTACCTGCAAATTATTTCCCGTAGCCACCTTGAACTGGCCACCCAATCTGCAGTGTGGGGCCCAGTCCATCTTTCCATCATGACTCCTGGAGACCCATCTCCCCTCCTCTCTCAATTCACATTAATGACTCTGTGATTCTCAAAGGTTGATTTCTCCTTCCCTTCTTGGGTTTGCCTCCCTGTTTTATTTTATGTCAAACCAAAAAAGTCCAATTACTCATGAGAAGCAACCCCGGGACGGTGAGGAGTCCTCTGACCCACGTGCAGACCAGCCTTCCACACCGAGTTCACAGTAACAACAACTAGCCGTGTGGTGCTGCCCACGCTCAGCGCCGTTCCTACCTTCCCACTGCCTCATTTCATAAACGAGGCAGTGGAGAGGTGAAGCAACACCGTCAACAGCCGGTCAGTGAGACGTGATCATTTGTTCCAGTCTGTCCTGAACGGAACATTCTGAGGACCAACAGCAACACAGGTGCACAAGTATACCTGCACACTGTAATTCTCACTGAAATACTGACACGCCATCTCAGTTCAGTTCATTTAAGGAGCAGCTTCTTTCTATGCAAACCTCAATTCATTACGCATGTACTAATCTCCACGACTTGACTAAGCAGCCAATTACTACACAAGCTAGAGAAGGGTAGCACAAGATACTCACCTCCCCACTGGGAGGTCCTTTTTCTTTCTGTTGACAGCGTCTAATCACTTCTAATAATAAGGGTCCACCCACAGTACCTTCTGCTTCAATGATACCTAAATCTCGGGCTAAGTTCTCCCGACCTTCAAGACCTTGAAACTAGAAAAGAAGTAAGATTTAGGTGCAGAAAATATAGCAGCAGTCAGACACGAAAGGGAGTATTCGAGGACCTTAAAGCATCTCTACATTCAGAGGCTAACTGTGTAGTGAATGACTTCTGGCTGTTTTATAAAGAACATCTATGTGTACGGCCTCTCCTGACAGATGCAGGGCAGCATCTTAGCAGGATCAACTCTACAGTAGCACTCCCTCTTAGCAGGATCAACTCTACAGTAGCATTCCCTCTTAGCAGCTTCAAGTTACACAAGCAACTCAGATGGCTCTGTGTTGCCAAAAACAAAAAAACAACTAAGTGTGAGCAACCGGAAACTGTGAGATGTCATTAATTTTCAGAGACTTCACAGATAGATGTAAAACCATGTTTCTTACTGTGCTAGTTTCAGGATGGAAAACAGCCAAGGTGAAATCAAGGTTAAAAAACTGAAGAAATTCTGCCACGAGACTAGCCACTAAACGACCTGTAAAGACCAAGAAAAAGACTTGTGAGCAAAGCCTGAAGAACCTTAATTTTCCTAGTGACCTGAAGCATTCTAGGGGAAGAATGAAGTTTCTAAGTTCTTTAAAATCACATATTTCTTCTCTGAATAAATCACTTAAGTACAAAAATCCCAATCTTCCCACTTTTTTTTTTTCCTTTAGAATCATCAATCTGCAAGTGTAAGACAACATAGTATTTCAAAAACAGATTTCAGTGTTTCACTTTCTAGACTAGGCCAGACATGGTGGTATACTCCTATGTAAAGTCAGCCTTAGGCAGGAAGATCACTGAGGGTCAGAGGCCAGCATGGGCCACAGAGGGAGACTACTCTCCCAAATATTGACAGGATTTTAAAATTCAGAGGCAGATAAACACAAGAATAACATCTTACCATCTTTTGTATTTAAAAATTTTTTCAAGCTCTCATTGACCAAAGGAGTTTTGTTCTGTTAAAAAAATAGAAGAAATATTTTACGTGTTAAATGTTTATCCTAAAACAACTAAAAAGCACACATTAAAGCTCTCTTGTTCCCATAGCCAGAGTTGATTATTAGCGAGTGAGCAAATTAAAAGTGGAAAGTACGCCATTCAGAGTGGAGAGCAGACAGGCCAAGCCGAGTGCAGCAGCTACATTTATTTATTTTGGCAAAGCTATAAAGAATATATACATTGCCATTCATAAAAATCATGGTTTTATGAACTCCATTTCACAACTGTTTACTTAGCATAGGACTTGCTTTGTGCTATTTAATAACTTTTCAAGTTACTGAAACCAAACTATACTTGGAGACATTTATCTTCAACTTTTTAAACCATTTTTTTACACTGCTGGGGATTGGACTCAAGACCTTGCACATGACAGGCAAGCACTCTACACTTGGCTAGACCACCAGCCCTTCAACATTTTATAATTTAAGTGCTGTTGAAATTGTTTATCTACAAATATTTGTGTGGCATTACTTTAACTCTATATTTCAAGTACATGCAATTTGAAATTTATCATCTTAGCTATCTACCATTTGCAACATATACATTTGTAATTCCAAATTAATCAGTAGTATATGACATGACTTTGTGTGGCCATAGGCCAACTTCTTTTTTGGATTACAGATCTGAACAAACGTAGTAAAAAACACTTTTTACAAATCGAGCCTGAGGTGACTATTCAGAGTGAGGCTAATGTAGGTAACACATGACTCACATCTTGCTGATGGCAGTACAAACACTTGGGAAAAGAGTTTGAGGCTGTTTGTTTTAAGGTTAACATTGTCCTCAGCATGTGAGCTAGTCGTTCTGTTCTCAAGTATTTTCTCAAGATAAACCCCAGATCCCAGTGAAGATCTGGACATGACCATTCACAGCAGCCTCATCTACAAGTGAAAAGCAGGAACAACCCAAAGATGGCATCAAAGGGTAGATGATTAAGCAAATTATGAATATCCACTCAGTGACTAGTGGAATGACCCAGAATTCCTGAAACCAGGATTAAATACAGGAGTATAACACACACTACTGTATTATGCTGAATAAAAGCTCTCAGATCCCATGTGTGTTCTACGTTTCCATTACGTGGTTTTGAAAATGATTATGATGTTGAGGAAGGCAGCTCACACAGAAATAAGGAAAATTGGAAGGACTTAGGTATAGTCTCTTCTTGGCTGTGCAGTTCACATCCTGCAAATGCTAAGTTTATCAAACCTGACATCTTAAAGTGGAGTTTACAGAAACAATTACACCTGTTAAAATGAAAGAGGGAGAAAAACCACAGAAGTACATGGTCTAGAGAATTTATGACACTTATTAACTGGACTAGTCAAAGAAAATGGAAGAACAAAATCAGGTATGTACTACCAATGGGCAACCCAGGAACAGTGAAGAGAGACTTGAAATGATGAGGGGCACGAACAAAGAGTGAAGAGTGTAAGTGCCACCCTGGAAAGCCGTAAGCAAGCCCAAGTAAGGCAGGCAGCAGAGGACCCTCAGCAGAGGACCCTCCCACGGCCAGGAGACAATGGGTGAGGATGGGGCAGGTCCGGAGAACTGGGAATGTCAGTCTCCTAGGCACACTCGTCTGACGCTCAGGAGGGAAGGGAGCTATGCAAGGAAACCAGGACGAAGTTACCAGTGGAGTCAGGGCTACTGTGGGGAGGCTGCAGAGTAAGTACTGTACAGAGACAGCACACCAACCCTGAAGGAGGATGAGCAGGAATGAGGTCTCACCAAAGAAACTGAGTGGACAAAAGAAAGACAGACTCGGAAAAGGCTCCCAAATGCCAAAGATTTCCAAAAAGGAAAGAGAAATCAATGTCAGATGCTGCAATGATCAAGTAAGGGTGAGAACTAACGTACACTCAACTGGAGGAGCCTTCTGGACTACAGCAAGAGAAACTCCTTGGGTACAGCAGTAGTATACTTACATTTTTAATGGAGTAAGGGATACCTGGCGATAAAAAACAACATGAGACATATTCTTCCAAAGAATATGTTAAAAGAAGTAGGAAAAAAAAACAAGTAAAAGAGAACTATTTTAAGAGCAATTAAACATTTTTATACTCAAAAGAGCCAGGACAAAAGAAGTCAAAGACCCAGTGATTAACTAAGGAGATGAGAATACATGGAGGACTAAATCAGACAATATATTTGGCAAGACAGAGCCTTTTCTCCTAGAGCAGGACAGACGGGTTCATGTACAGACACGGGTCACCTTTCCCTAAACTGACAGGTTGGGGATAGCAGCCAAGGACAGTTAGGACCTAGTCACTTCTATTCTTCCCAGAGGAAGGACAGATAAGAAAGCTAAGTGAAGGTGACCAGATGGGCGCACCACGTCCCCGCTCAAGTTAGTATCCACCACTCTGTGGCTTTGGGGGTCACGGGGTTAAGTGACTTTTCTTTGGCAATGCTTAGGCAGAAATGGTAGAAGGAGATAGTTTGCTGGGATCAAATGATCACCACCGTTAACTAGAGAGCAAAGAAATAGGGTTTCTGAGGTGTGGACAATGGGATCTAGCCTAGCTGAGGACACACAGAAAAGATGATGCAGAGACCAAGATAAAGAAGCAGGAGGCTGAGGAAGTTAAAGAGTAGATTCGCAGGTCCACAAACGTGAAAGGATGGGAGGGACTCAGGACGGTTGCTGGGTCTTGGGGTAAACACAAAAGCCAAGTTACCATTTAAACACACGGGGTTTCCTGGATATTTTTTTTTTTTTTTTTGGAGAATAAGTTCAGAGATGCTTTTAAATAATTGATCAGATTTTTAACCCACCAGTCAGAATCTGGAGGAAAGGGTGTATTCTACATTCCTTACCACCAAGACATTCAGAGCGTACTGGCTTACAGAAAGTTCGGAGTAACCCTGCAGGTAACTAACTCACTGTAACTGTTTCAGGCAACCCCTGCGACTGAGATCTGGCTACGTCTGGGAGTCTGTCAGAATTACGGTGGTACTTTAAGGCCGCTCTCCAACGTGCAAAAATGATATAGAAAACGAGCCATGGTACAGAGATACAACCCGTAGCCGTTCAGAATCCCAGTTTGTCATCCAACGATTTCGAAAGGGCTTGAAATCTATTAGAAATTAGGCGTTAAGAAGGACGGTCCTATCAAGGTCTGGGGCGGGGTAGGGGGGGAATCTCTTACCTCTACCTTTTCCTGTTCTTCGAGCGCTAAAAACACAGCCGCTCTGAGTTCAGCCTGCAAAAGAAACACACACACACAACAACAACAACAACAACACCACACACACACACACACACACACACACACACACACACAATTACTTCAGGTCAGTTCCGCACGGACCTGCCGTCTGAATGACAGGGGCCGGCACGAGGCTGCCCGCCGCCCGCCCGCCCGCCCGCAGGTGCAGCGTGGGGCGGTCACGGGCCGCTCGGCGGGCGCTCGGCCCCACACCAGGCCCACGATCCCGGGCCCGGGCCCAGGCCCCACGGCCGCGCGGCCCGCCCAAGCCGCCCCCGGCGCCCCGCCCCGCGGTAGCCCCCCGCGCCCGGGGAAGCCGCGAGGCCCCGGGCAAGCCTCCCCGGCCTGGCCGAAGCCCGGCCCTCGCGCCGCACCTTGATACGGTTCAGGACGCCGCTGTTCTCCAGCGTCTGCACCAGCAGGTCCCGCAGCTCCGTGTCCTCCTCGGCCACCACCGCCGAGGCCGCCGAGGCCGCCGAGGCCGCCGCCGTCGCCGCCGCCATCTTGGTTCTCCAAGACAACCACCCAAGCCGCGCGAACGGCCAACGGCGGGCGCGGAAGCCGCAGGGCGCGCGCGCGCGCGCGCAGTCGCAACCCCGCCCCTCACGCCGCGGGGGGCAAGACCTAGTGGGCGGAGCCTCCAGGCATCGTGAGGTAGGGGGCGAGGCCTCCGGGTTTCATGACGCCAGGGGCGGGGCCTATTGAAGGCGGGGCCTCCGGCTCCAGGGGCCGTCTATGGGCGGCACCACGGGCGCGGGGCGGGGCCTGATTTTGGCGACGCCCCCTGTGGCATAGTAACGGACTTTTATTAGAAGCGTCATTAAATTGTACTTAATTTCCCTGTTCCGGCGAGAGGAAAGAGTCCACTGAGGCTAACCCTACTGGCCCAAACTTCTAACTTCGAGGGCGGTGGTGGAGCAAGGGCTCTGGATGGGAGGACCGAGGCGAGCCTCGGGGCGGGGCGGAGACTCCTGGTGGGCGGGGCAAACTGCGGGGCGGGGCCTGCCTGGGACGCTTCACCTAAGAGTGAACAGCGTGTAGGGGTTCTGCGTTTTGTCTCTGTGAGCGTGCACACGCTCATAAGTCCGTTTTGCCGGGCGGCAGGGTGTGCTGTCTCTGGTACCTTTGGCTCTGGTGAGTTCTTTTGGAAGAGCAATCGGCCATGCTTCGGTGTGGATGGGAAGCTTGAACAGCGTTGGCTTGGAAGTTCACAGAGATTGGGCACCGGTCGGTAATAATTTGGATTCATTCCCAACCATGCAGGTGGCCTGTGCATTATGAATGCAGAGTTACATAAGTATAAAGTTAAACCCCTCCAATGTAGCTTTTCAGTTTATGGGAGAGAGTTGTTTTGTTTTGTTTTCCTGCATCTTCCGAGGAAGGAATCATTGAGAGGTTAGTTTTAAAAACTGGCCTTAAGGAAAACAGTTAGAGGTTAGAAGGACATGGGTAAGAGGGGGCAAAATGAAGGGACTCTGACCGGCTTGAGCATGGCGAGCATGGTTCTGGCAGGCTGTGCCCTTCTTTCGCGTTCCTCTGCCTTGCTAAAAACCGTTAGATTACATTCCTAAAGTTAGCCACCAAGGTCTGTACCCTTACTTGGCCATTTCCTCCTCCTGAGGTTTACTACTAACGTGCAGCTATCAAAGTATTGAAGTCCAGAAATCAAAACTCCCTTTGGTTCACCTAATTAACATGCCCAATTAAAATGAAACGCCTCATCCTAACACCAGGTTTTTCCTTTTACGTTTTAAACTACCATCTTCCTATGGGCCTGTCTCCTGTCTATCCAGAGGCACTCCTTTGTCCCTCTGGGACAAATACCCTGCCCTCTTTCCCTTCCCAGCTTCCCTGTCATCTATCTCCTGTCTTTGCCCCTTACCTCTGTCCTCTGTCCCTCTGGGATAACTAAATCTTTGTGTTGAGACTTGTTCCTGGGGTCCTGAGCTGATACAGATCCTTTTCACAGAGTACTTCCATGCTGGCATCTGATTACAATTTGGGCACATGAAAAAAAAAATGGGGTTAATAGATCTGGACAAACTAAGAGGTGTCCCTGGAGTGTACAAACTTCAAGCTAAGGAAAGATGAAGAGGAGAGTGCTCTGGGCAAGGAAGAACCCTGTCTGTGTGGCCCGTGAGTAGTGAAAGCAACATCGGTGTGGTTGGCAGAAGGAAGGAGGACTCAGGGAGGAGCTGGTCCGAAGCAGATAATGACGTGCTAGTTTGGAGAACAAAGGACTTGAAGCATCATCTGATGTCTAGGTTTGGATACTCAGGAAGGTTCGAAATGCGTTTAATCAGCACTTTTAAACCGAGTGCCTTCTTCGTTCTACACTCTAAATTAAGTGGCTTGGAGTGGCTGTTTCCCACAGCCCGGCAGCCATCAGTCCTGGAACTCCGATAACAACCTTTACAGCAGTGTGACGCCTTGGAGTGAGCCCTTGTGGGGAGGACAGGAGAAAGTGCAGCTAGAGGGCAGGAGACTAGGGGGCCTCAAGACTCTGAAACCATAAGTAACCTGTATCCAGTGTGATTACATTTGAAGATGGGACCTGCACAGACTTGTAAAGGTTGGGTGAGGTCATAATCAGTGGGCCAATGTCCCGAACTCTCCCAACACCGAAATCCACAAAAAGGGCTTTTTAGCAGGAACTGAAGAGGCTGACGGACCATCTTGAACTTCCTCCAGAATACTAAGATCAGTTTCTGTTGTTGTACACACAGGTCTGTGGTATTTTGTTTTGGCAGGCTGAGCTGCCAAAGCCAGATGGCTTCCCCGAGGAGGTGATGCTGAACAGCTGTTGTGCTGGGCGGCTGCCGGTGAGTGAGGAAGAAAGGGCACTCCAGACAGAAGGAACTAGCCAGAGTGCAGAGTCAGGACCCAAAGGCAGGTTACTCTGTATAGGGGAGTAGCAAGATGCCCGTGTATGTACACACACACACACACCCCTGCACAAGTGCTGGGGTCTGCAGGGTGAGTTGGAAGCTGGAGACCTAGGAAAACTGTCACTGAGCCAGTGGGCTCAGCACCCTGGGAAGGTGTTTGAATCTGAGCCTGGAGCACCCCTCTCCCCGCCCCCCCCGCCCCATACCCCAGTGTAAAGGCCAGAAGCAGGAAAGACCCTCTTATGGGCGAGAATAAGTCCTTTAAAAAAAATTAGAGGTTGGAGAGACAGCTCAACAATTAAGAGTGAGTACTACTCTTGCAGAGGACCCAAGTTTGGCTCCCAGCACCCACACTGGGCAGCTCATAAATGCCTCTAACTCCAGTTTCAAAGGATCTGATACCTCTGGCCTACTTGGGTGCCTAAAAGTATGCTCACACCCACTGACTGATATACACACAGAGAGAGAGACAAAAATAAATCTTTAAAAAAATTAAAATTAAGCCGGGCAGTGGTGGCGCACGCCTTTAATCCCAGCACTCAGGAGGCAGAGCCAGGCGGATCTCTGTGAGTTCGAGGCCAGCCTGGTCTACAGAGCGAGATCCAGGACAGGCACCCAAACTACACAGAGAAACCCTGTCTCAACCCCCCCCCAAAAAAAAATTAAAATAAGGACTGGAAAGATGGCTTGGTGTTAAGAGTACTATCTGCTTTCCCAGAGGATCTGTGTTCGATTTTCAGAACCCACATGGCAACTGACTACCAGTTCCAGAGGGTCCAATGCCCTCTTCTGGCCACCACAGGTACTGCACACATGTGATATACATACATACATGCAGGCAAAATGTCCATACACATAAAATAAAAATAAAAATAAAATCTTCCCTCAAATGTAAGAAAACAAATTTTAAGGTGAGAAAGTGTCACCCAATTAGAGAAAGCACTATGCTCTACTTAGGCTACCAAAATTTAAATGGCCTCACAGACTGGATGCCCATGGCCCAGTCAAGTTAACAACTAAAACTAGCCAGTGTAAGGCTAAGCTTTGTGGTGCCGTCCTGTCATCTGGTGGAGATTAGGAGAATTGGAGATCAATCTTATCTTCGGTTACATACAGATCTGAGGCCAATCTGGAATACATAAGACTTGTCTTTAAAACAACTCAACATATTGAAAAAGCCATATGTAACTATAAGAACAATCGGGATCAAGCAGGGGAAAGTGCCTTCTCAGCTTCCACTTGAATTCTCTCAGACCAGAATATGTTGTTTCTTTACTACCAAGAATGTGTCTGAAAGCAAGATCGTCTTTCAGTCTGAACACAGGAGTACTAGCACTTTCTCAGTAGAAAGGTCTGGGGAGGATCAGGCAGGTAGAGAACCATGTTCTCTGTGGCCTGTGAGCCTCCATAAATGTTTACAGATTGTGTAGGTGATGCAGCCTGCTGGGGAAAGAGGTGGCCTCCACTCTTCCTCTGTTAGAATATTCATCAGAGTGTACTGAAATTGCTCAGTTCATTATCTGCACAAAGATTTGCTGCTAGGTTGTGGATAGTGGTTAAAGTTTAGCGTGGGCTTTGTGGCCACGTTGAATGCGTTTCAACACGCTGTCGAGTTGTATTGACTATAGCAAGTTACCTAGCCTCTGTGCCTCTGTTTCCCATTTGGGAACAGAGTCCAGCATATATATGTGTATGCATAGAGATGTGTGTTTTGTTATTGGTAAATAGCATTCAATGTCTGAAACAGAGACAATAAACTATTAAAAATTATTCATTGTTTGAGCATACAGCTCCATTTCATTTGAAAATCTCGTGATGCTGTGAGCAGATTGCATGTTTTTGTTTTCTTACTAGCTTCATGCCCTAGAGAAGATCTGGAACCTAGGAGACATAAGTGGTTTACCCATCACACACAGCCAAGATGAACTAATCTGGACCCCTGCTCTTGCCATGGTATCTTTCTCTCTTCCAATATTATGGGATGTAGTTATCCGACTTTGTCTTCTGTGGCTGTAACTGAGTAATTTACAAAGAACAGGGTTTCGGGAGATTGGCAAGAGGTTGTCAAGGTGTGGCTTCCCGTGAGGCGCTGACAGGCAGTGTACTAGCCAGTGTGCTAGCCCAGGCCTTATTTCTCACAAAGACACTAATGCCATCACGGGGCCCCTCCCGAGTCTCTCTCTTCCTAGCCTCCTCCTGAAGGACCTTGGGGTTCACTTTTAACACATGAACTTAGTGGAGAACCTTTCAGCCACAGAAGTAAAAGCTGAATAAGGGAAATGTGGAATGAAAGACAAGTGGGCCTTCCCTAGACCAGTTCATACCCATCACCACCAGGGGGCAGTGTGCAGCAGAACAAGAAGAGGGCTTTTTTATTACGTTCTTACTACCTGTTCAAAGATGTGGTAACCGGAGTATGCCACACCTTCTGATCCCCTCAAATGCCACCCCCCACAAGACCCACTTTGGCATAAGGGCTATTTTGAGCTAAAGGCAATTCAGTAGAAGCAGGTATGTATTTTTAAAACGCTCTCTGCCTTCTGCCTGCCTGTCTGCCTGCCTGCCTGCAAGGATGTGCATTTACAAAGGGATCTACTTCTCTCCATGCCAGGCAAAAGGAAAGCCAGTAGCCACCTATGCAGCCTGGGAGGTACTGAGGGGTCAAACTGTACTCGCCAGCCCCTCCCACC